AATGCGAAGGTTCTTCCTATTTACGTACTTTATCTTCCTCTTTTGATGATTTTGGCGACCTTTCATTGAAAATCAATGCGTTATCATTGCATACCATCTACTACTCGTTTGGGGAACTTCACTTTTGATGTTGGTCGCTTGAGTGCTGCCTCTTTTAACCCTTTTTAAACGCTCCTATTGGCCTCTGCTGATTATATGCATAACCAGTAGTCCTAAAGCGCTATAGTACTGCTCGGTCCAAGTCCTCTCTTACTCTAACGCTAGGACTATACGCCCACAGAGGAATGAACATGTTTATCTTGCGCGATTTCTACGATTCTGTGCTGCAATCGGGTACATGGCGCATATTAGAGGGGTTGATAGGCGCCTGATATTTTCTTCCCGTTGAAGGGGTCTGATTGCATCACATTCTGCACCTCTCTCTACGCCTCACGTATCTTCCACCACTCAAACGTTCCCTTCTGGAACATCTGTTTCAGGCGACTTTTTTCCAGTATAGGCTGGGAGGCTATTAATTTTCCTTCTCTCCATTAGAGTCATCTGAGCGTGCAATTTTTACAGGCGTGAACAAATTGTCTGGCAGTGTTTTAATCTCAAAACCTAATTGCTAGTCGCCTTCGTTTGCACATGAGGGGGCAGAGAGAAGAACATATTTTTCAGGCTATTTTTTTACATCTCCATTCTCATAGAGGAGGGGTGAATATGCTCGACTGCGCTACTTTTTCCGCAAAAGTTGTGCGCAATAGAAAACTATGAGTCCAAAACTAGGCTATGCTACCTAAGGAGCACCTTCGCACAGAGGATCGGGTAGGCGTGATCCACATCTGGCAAAGGCCCTGACTTGTATGTGTACACAAACATATCATCTATGACACCCAGTGCTGTAAAACCTTTAGGGTCTGCTATTTGTCCCTTGTGCCCTCTCGTCTGTCCTCTTGCCTAGACGCTCAATGTGCCTCATACTGCTGGCCTCCAAGGTTCGACCACCGTACAACAGTGGACCCTTTTTCAAGGATTTCGCTGTTTTTCTTCCTTTTTTCTTCATTGGACGTCGATTCGTACCTCTATTTCCATTTTTGAGCCTAATGACCATACCCACTTGGTTGAGGAACGTGCCTTTGAGTTTTAGAAAATGGATTTGATGAGATAGGGTGCATAGTTTTTCATTTTTTCCCCATCAAGCTCTTTCTAACCAACCTCTCACCTATGTACCTTGGACGAATACTTTTAATCTGGAACCGGGACGGACTAGTTTACAATATTTGTGGCGCCTCGTGCCCTGCAAAGTCTAGAGCAGCGACAGCTTGGCAGTGGATTGGTTTATTTGCGCCTCTCGTTAGCCTGCGGCTCTGTCACCTCATACTCCCTCGCTGCCTCTTGCGCCTTAAACACTCTCCTCCACTACGCTCAAGTCTCCTCATTGCCTTAGTTCCGCCGCACTACAAAGATGAGCAAACCCTAAATCTAAGCGTTTTCAACAGATTCCTATTTCTCCTCGACTGTCGGTCCATTTCGCATCAATACTTCCATTTTTGTGGGCAAGAACCACAATAGTTTTATCTTTAGGCATGCCTGAGAGAACTTCCACGCAATACGCATATGTCAGACGGCCTTCGAAGAAGGGAAACTGTCGGTATGCACCCTTGCGGGCAGACAAGTGGACGCGCCCTAGATGCCGTACTCGACGTGCGATTCACGCGATGCACTTGCCCCGGCAACCTAGCATGGTTCCTTCGTGGCGCTATCGGCGCGGAACGCCCTTTCACTGGCTAACCACTCGCCGGACGTCTCTAGCATATAGCAGAGAGAGCGTAAGCGTCGAAGAGGGCAGCACCCATGAGAGCCGAATCAGCGCGGAAAGCAGGGGGCAAGGAAGAGGTTCCCTTTCTCGAGTTTCGGGCCGTTTTACATGGTTTCTCCCTCAGCCGCTGCTCCAGACTTCTACCCTTATTTCCAATGAGCTAACTTCTTCATCGTAAAGTCTACCTTTAAAAGGAACAATCTATTTTTTTTTTTTTTTTTTTTTTTTTTTTTTTCTTGAATGAATTCGACTCTAAGTCGAGTACGGACCCATCGCGTATGGCGGGTCAGCTTTCTTACTCCTCCATTTTGGAGGTTAGAGTGGCAATCATCAAAATTTGATCTGCGTTGCTTCTACGGAGATTCATTTCGTACATGTCCTAAGAAGGATACCGACAACTTTTGAGCTGACTTACTGTAGCGAGTGCACGACCATATCACTGAGTACTTAGTAGAACATTTGCCGAAGAACACGAAGCTTCAATTCAGTGGATAAAAAGCTCTCCTGATACCTACTTTGGTCGAAATCTGATAGCGCACATAGTATTTTGGCGTCACCTGATCATTGAGGAGATTTGATGACGTACTTTCGGGTACTCATTTCGACACATATGACCATGGACGAAGCGTCAGATTCCAATAGTGAAATGATGGGTGACAGCAAAAGGGCAGACATCGACAGCGATGACGTCTCAATTCTGACACTACCTACGCGCTTCTTGATTGTATTTAACCGCGAACGGCTGCACGACACATGCACACGTTCACAGCTACAAAACTCTTGTCTAATGGGAGTTTACGACTCCATATGGGATGTTATTCAGCGACTTCTAGACGCTTTCCGGCTCTGGGAACAAAGGTGATTCGAGCATTTCTTTTGTTTTCATCTCTGCACCACTGACCACCTCTTCTTGTTTTTTATGGCTCCTTTTCATCGTGAAGCTGCCGATTCTCGATGAAAAGCAGCTTATTAAATACCAAAATACCTCCGTATGATCCGTCCACATGGAGAAGGATACGTATTGATTGTGAGACTACGCGCGTAAAACTTCATTAGAATCGATTGGCTTGCTACCAATTGAGCGGTCGCCTAATCGCCTACTTGCCCACTCGCCCAATCGCCTATCAACCGATGAGCAGGGTCAACCGTTACGTTGGACCGATATTGGAGCGACGTTGGACCGATGTTGACCGCTCTCCGCGCCGGCATTCACTCTCGCCACCCGCGAGCCGTCTGTGTCTCCGTGCGTACGTTCACTCTCGGCATTACTCTCACACGTCGTCCATGCGTTGGACTTTGTCCAACGGACGGTTGACCCTGCCGAGGAGTACACTTTTTTCATGGAGTCATTGCAGCCATACACAAGCGCAAACTATGAACGTTGCCTTGGACTCCGTCTAAGCAATTACAGTATCCCATCTTTGTGCTGTCACCATGCCTGGCTCTTTTCCTGTTTTATTTTCTTCTCATAGAGCAGTTCTTAATCTAGAACATTCCATGCTTTCAACAGCCAGCTTTCAGAAAATCCTTTCAAGGCCTCACCTGCTGTGACGAAGTTGAAAACCTCCTCCTAATAGGCCAATTTAGGCGCCTACTGAAAGCGTGGGCTTTCATGGCGTGCATACAAGTGCAGTATGTATTTACGCCCATGTATTTCCTATTAGATACGCCTCGACAGCGCTATAGCGCCTTCCCTATTAGTTCAATTAGTCACAAGTCTCTAACATCGCGCTAGCCAGCAGGGCAGGATTCCCTTCAAGATTTTCTTCCAAGCGGAGGATTTCTCTTCTATCGGGAAATCTCGCACGAAACCGTTCCTTACTGGAGTTTCTTTCCAGTTCCATCTTACTATAATCTCTACTTCCTCTCTCTTCCTGTAAACTACAAGCAGCCTTATTTCCATGGAACTTGCTGAAGATCGGGATCCAGCACAGGCATGGTTCGTGGAAAAAGCTAAAGAAGTTTTCGTTCAGGTTGTTTAAAACACCCGGTCCTACGGGGTAGGATAACTGAGACCAGATGTCTGGGAGATAAAGCACTGATTTGTATATTTACTGAACTCGCTAGGCTATGGTGTGAGCCAACACATTCAAGTACCATCACTCTTCCGACCAAGCGTCTAGTGTGTGACGCATCCTCAGAAGGAAAACCTAGACGCCTTTCCTTGTTTTTGTATACCTTATGGTGAAATCCTTCAGCAGATCTCTTCTCCGTGCCCTTACTGCTTGTATAAGTCAAGAATTGCATATTACCCGCCTACCTGTACCACCTGTTGCGTGCAGAAGAGGTCAGTGGACTCTCCGCGCTCAGGGGATACTGAATGTTTCATTCCTTGCCATCAGAGCTTCGTGGAAATGTCTTACCATTGCACATGAGTCAACAAGAAGGCCAAAAAACAGGTTGGGCTGCAACGAACCCGGCTATGCTCATTGCCTCAGCGCTGCTTATCGGTTAGCCGGCTATTGCAACTTTAAGGGCTTATTACGCTTTGATCTGGCATCCCCCATCTCCTGATTCGCCGTGCCACATTTACATTGATTACTGATCTTGCCAGTCCAGCTATGGTTTGCTTAAAGTATTCTTATGCCTATGTTGAAGGGCTCAATTGACTTCTGTTCAAATAGTCGAAAAACTGAGTGGAGCGCCAAGAGTAAGGCGTACCCCCACTTGAAATGCC